ATCAGGCCCAGTTTTTGTTGTCCATTGAATTCCAGAAAGATATTCGGATATCACCACTGGAGTGGCCCACGGAGGATATCTGTGTACAAACCATGAAAGGCTTTGTCGATTTTGTGACAGAAAAATATGGTGCGTTTGGGAAGATGTTTATGCTTAAACATGTTCAATTAAACATTAATGTGATTCACATTTGATATGAGTTTTAGCGAAAGGTCCCTGTCTTTTTCTCATTTTATCATCTTGAAGTGGCATCACTAACAGATGTTGACTTATAACGTTTACGCTGCTCAAGGTCGACAGACTTCTGTTCATGTTGTTCTTAGCTCTGAGGTAGTTTGTTACTACCAACCCAAGATCACCAACAAACAGCCGAACCTATTTTCGACCGAATCTTTTACAAGGTTACATAATTCAACAAAGGTTTATACTACCTCAAGCACATAGTTTTCAACTGCCTCCAAGCATATACTTTGCTTACGCGTCAACGATTGAACACTGTTGGGCAGCTATACTTTGGTCACACAGAACCGTGCGGACAGTAACGGTGTAAACAGCAAACGGGTGACGGCTTTTGCAAATACTGATGAAAACTGTGCTGAAAATGGTCACAGAATAGCAAGCTTTCTGGAGTATTCAATCGTCCTGTCATACTGGGAGGTAGGAACGGACGCTGTCAGACGCTTCAGAGTGAATTTGTGGTCATAACTGCATGGCGCTGAGTTAAGCTTTATCTGGTCTTGCAAAAGTCAGGAGGAACCCAAACAAAGCTCGCGGTACATCTCAAATCACTTGTCATCTCTTTGTTTCTGTCTTCCCTCCGGTTTTGGGCTAAAACACTACAAGATGTGCTTGTCAACCAAGACAAATCAATAAAAATACTTCCAACTCTTGTCAGGTTTTCTCAGTGAGCAGCCTCTCTATTGAATCAGCCTCGAAGGGTACCGCGAACTGCTCAAGTTTTTTCGCTTCAAACCATTACGTTCGAGCTAACAGCTGATCAGGACAAGTAACTTATCGCTCCAGCCTTTTGTAGTTTCGAACCTACTGGCCTCTGTTTTGTAATACCAGTGTGCACTGCACTTGCATCTCGCTGTCTGACGTTTTCTGCTTCTGCAACATAGTTTCGTGCCGCAACCCACTATACATTGTTTTTCTTGTTATCTAACAGATGCACAGCACAGTGTTTTTTGACCCGGTTTAGTTTTATCAGTTTAAGCATATGGAAGACATCCTGTAATCACGGACAAAAGTTGCGAGCTAGTGGATGGTGGATGATGTCAACACGACTGCATTCAACAACCTTAATAGCGGTCCCAGACTTACAGCTTGTTGACAGCACAGAGGAAACAGAATCCAGAGAGTACCAAATTCGTTGCGCAACACCTTTATAAAGCTCTGTCAAGTGAATATGCCTGACATGCATCAGCTCGTTGATGGTAGTATAGACAGCTTCTTTGAGTTGATTTTTTTGCACTTACTTGTGAATATAGAAATTGTTGGATTTTTTTTATAGCGATTTCGCAAAATTTTACAAAGTAATCTGCGATTAGGAGCCGTTATTGGGTCTGGATTTTGAAAACTACCGAAAACCTTCTGTGGATGAGTTTGTTTCTGCCCAGTCAGCATGGTGAAATGTTTGCTTGTGAACACATGATTCAGTGGCACACCAATCACATCGCTCAAGTGTGAACACGTTCGCCTGTTCAGATGTGATAATCCAGATGCATCCAACGTGTGTTGGTAGAGTAGTGGTTACGCCCTCGCCTCGCATGTCAAATGTCGGGGGTTCAAATCCCGGCACGGCCATTGGATATGCACTGCTGATGAGTTCTAATAAGAGCAAAACTCGAGTCCAGTGCTTCCCTTTGGTGTGGACTCACCGGAATAATTACGCCAGAACAGGAACATGGCCGTTCAAACGAGAGTGGTGTGGCTATGAACAAATATTTCATGATAGTTTCACGGGATGATTAGAACACAACTAAAAACGAGAAACGTTTCGAGAGAAAATAAACCGAAGTCCACACAAGATAGCTCGGACATAACAGTTTCAAGTAGAAGGCGTTTGATCACCTCTCGTTTGCGAACAAGTCCTGTAGATTCATGTGCTACTTGAAAAGCACACATCTAAAGGCCCTCATCATAGCTTAATCAAGAATAGCAATCGCCGAAAACCAGTTATCTGGCATAATCCCAGAGAAGCGCATCCACTGATCATAAACAGGTGGTTTGCTCACTTAGCTGTTAGTTTTCATTTTTGTGTTGATCAGTGAACGAAGGAACTGTCAAAGCGTGTAAATAGCAATTTTCGGTAAGATAGCATGATCATTTCGAGACATTGAGTCGAAGCGGACTCCGCTCCGAAGATTCTTCATTAGTCATCCTACTGGAGTGTGAGTGGTAAGAGAAGAGTCATTGGTACGAGTGAGAATTTCGCCATCAGGCTGTACAATCCAGACCTATTTCGTAAGAACAGTGCTTCCGAGGCGGTCGTTAAGCTGGCTTCATAAGGATCAAGAGTTTGCAAAAGCTGTTGGCCTCATGCCCAAAGATCCAGAACGGGTCACGCGAATTTCCCTAGCGGCAAGCGCTTTATATAAGTAACCTGTTTTAGGTTAGTTGATCCTATCAGTTTACTGTTTTTGATCACTAAAAACCGACTGGAATTTCATCCTCCAGGTCGCGCCGATCGAATATGAAAGACCGAGTAGTATGACAGCTTTAAGTCTCATTGGGAATAATCTGAGGTGCGCCACTCTAGAGATTCGGTTTGCAGTTGAACAATATACTGTTTGCTGGAGGGTGTTCGATCAACACTTTGATTAGTGTACTTGGAGAGGATGTGGCACCCTTTCTCCAAAACAGGCAAACCACAGACATACTATGGAAGTGCATCTGGAAAGGTTCAAGGGAACTTGGTGTGTTTATGGTTCACTCTCCGAGCATCAAGAGACCCCGGGGTGGCCCACGGTGGTCTCAGCGGTTTGAGTATTACTCTTTGGTGCCGCAGATTAAGATACCCAACTTGACTGGATTCCTAAAAATCACGGACTGCTTGGAGTCAGACTGACCGGGCACGTCAGTGACCGGGTACGATCAATGACCACATTTTCTCACTATCTACGCATGTGCTCCATTAAACCACGTCAGTGATCACTGTCAGAGATGCTCTTTATGGACAGATTTCGAGACCCCTGCAGACGGGAAGGTGCACGGATATCACTTTATTCTGGATAGCGTTTGAACGCCCATTTGGTAAGAATTCAAGAATATGAGGGCCATCTCGGTGCAACATTTGACGTAAATGCTCCTGGAACCCAAGACGGCTATCTAGGTAGATAGCACAATCATGAACATTCTGCAAAACATAAGC